TTGCAAAAACTAACATCAAGTTAGAATTTGATCACAGAAGAGAGGATAAATTAATACGAGGGTTTTTTTTTTTGTTTTTTGTTTTTTTTTTAAATATTTTTGTGTGAGAAGTTTTCAAGAGATCTACATATATATGTCTAGTTTGTTGAATTGTGTGTAGGTGGATTGGACACCAGAGCTACACAGGCGATTTGTGCAAGCAGTGGAGCAGCTGGGTGTGGATAAGGCAGTCCCTTCAAGGATTTTAGAGCTTATGGGAATTGATTGTCTTACTCGCCACAACATTGCTAGTCACCTCCAAGTAATTAAATATATACTACTCCTGCTGTATCTATATGCACTCATCATTTTTTTTCTATTTTCATATGCAGAGTTTTCTATTGATGTAGCTAGATATCTTCTATAACTTGCCCAAAAAAAGGAAATTAAGAACTTCTCAAGATTTGTATAAAATGTTGTCCCACTAATCTTTAATTCATGGACAGTGTTTCTCAGTGGCGATGCTATGTGTTTTTAGGGTTAATTTGGATCCTTTTTGTTTTATTGCATGAAGATGGAGGACAATTAAAAGAAAAAATGGAAGTTAGTTTAGCTAAACATATATACTATATACACACTAGAATGGAAGCAATATATATGTTTGATAGTTAATATTTTTAACATTGAAAGTATTTTAAATTCATATATAATCCAGATTTTGCATATAGCTCTAGAGCTTCAGAAGACTTCACTTTTCAGTCGTGGAGAATTTTTTCTATGCTCTAGTATTGGAGTCATTCATGTCCGTGTTTAGGTTCGTAATATAGAAATCTAAGACCTAATTAAACATTCAATGACACTAATATTTTGTTTATTTTATTTTGTTAACAATGAGTAGAAGATAATTGTTTGCATATATACTTATATAGTGATCATGGTCATGCACTTTTTTGTTAATGATTTGGTCATTTTTTTGTAACGAATCTAGTGGTCTATATTTGCAGAAATACCGATCGCATCGCAAGCATTTGCTTGCTAGAGAAGCTGAGGCAGCAAACTGGAGCCAGGGACGGCAAATGTATGGAGCAACTGCCGGAGGAAGCAAGAGAGACACCAACCCTTGGGTTCCAGTTGCACCCACCATGGGCTTCCCTCAAATGACACCCCCACACCATTTTAGACCCTTACATGTGTGGGGACATCCATCTGTTGACCAACAGTTAAGGCACACCTGGCCAAAACATCTAGCCCCTTCACTCTCTCCACCACCACTGCCGGTATGGGCACCCCCTCCTCCACTATGTCGGCCAAAGCCAGAACCACCACTTTGGCACTCACACCCCCAACATGTAATATGTCAAAATCTCTCTCTCTCTCTCTCTCTATATATATATATACGTACATATATCTAAATTAGGATATTCTTTTGGTGCAGGTTCCAAATTCTCTTACAAGAGGGACACCTTGCTTTCCACCACCAATTGCAACCATGGTAACTTTTCAAATACTTTTTTGGAGCCTTTTCTATTGTGGTCCAACTTGAGCACTTCAATCTTAATGGCATCACTTTATTCAATTTCGAGCTAGTTTTTGGTTTATATAAATAATTGATCATGAATCATGATAATTAATTAATGTTCGCAGAGATTTCCATGTCCCACTGTACCGGGCATACTACCCCATGCCCATGCCATGTACAGATTAGACCCTGCAGGCATTGCTGTACCAACCAGAAAACCAATTCCTTCCCGCCCTCCATTCGACTTTTATCCGGTGAGAATCCTGCTCTCTCATGTACACTTGATTTCTTCCTTTAAAATGTGCAATTACCAAGTAATTAAAGTGGTTTACTCAATTCGTGTGGAGAGGAACAACTTAATTTGCACGTGTCCAATGAATTAGTTGAGGTGGACACCCTGATTATCGAAAAAAAATAAAAAAATTGAGATAGATTCACAACAAATTTTTGTGAATAGAGTATTACATTATGATTTGCAACTTCATTGGTATACTATACTTCTTAAATAGGGGGAAAAAAAAAAGATTAATGCATATACCGATAATGAATACTTATTACTTATGTGACAATATATAATTAGTTGATAACAACGAAGACATGATATAGATTTTCTACTTAAATAGTCATGTTTAGTTCTAGAAAATTGGTTCGAGTTTTAAGCACAATTGTGAGAGACTTATTTTAGGGTATAAATTAAATCTTTGTAGGGTTCTTCAAAATATCTCACAAGTGATTCTAAATTTGTTTAAAAACATACAGTCAAAGGAGAGCATAGATGCAGCTATTGGAGATGTTTTATCGAAGCCATGTCGGCCATTACCTCTTGGACTAAAACCTCCATCTACGGACAGTGTTCTGGTGGAACTGCAAGGTCAAGGAATTCCCAAAATACCACCCACTACTTGTGCTTGAAACCTAACAACATCCATCCAACAATGGCTGTTTCGGAGCTTACTCAAGCAAAGAGAACCTCAAATTCGACGACACTTCCTGCAGTTAGATGTCACCCATCTAATGTGCGAGTTTTTTGTTTTCCATTTGTATCTTTTCGGCCCACTTCTGTTGTTCTTTGTAATCGAGTAGCTGTACCTTGTTCTTGTGTTTAAAAATAATAAAAGCTTGGCTTGTTTTAGTTACTAGCTTAATTAATTATGGGGTTGTATAATGTGCAGTAATAATTGTAATAAGTGAAGAACATGCAATAGTGCGTGTGATTGTAGAATACTTCTTGACAAGATCAAGTATTGAACAATAAAATTAGAAGTCAAATGCTTGATCAAATTCATCAGGTCACAATAAATGTTTTTTTTTTAATACATCCTCTAACAAGTCAAGCAAAAAAATTCTGATCCTTGAATTGGACGCAATATTGATTAGTTAATACAAATTATTAAGAATTTAGTGCAGTGGTATTTTCTCATCTTTTAAAGTGAAAGGGAAAATTTTGAGTTTTTGTATAGAAAAAGTGAGAGTATGAATTTTTTGCTAAACAAAAAAAAATCAAAATTTAAAATTCTTTGACAATATATCAACATCTAATGAGTACCAAATATAATTAATCTCAAGAATTAAAAACATCGAGCAAATGATTTTGCTAATTGAAGAATAATGAGTACGTTTGGGTATGGAACAAGATTAGGGAGCCGGAAATTCAAGTGTTAACACCCTCTTCAAATCTTCAAATTTATATATATACAATAGGGTGAAGCATAAAAAATAAAATAAAATAAAATCTTGAACTATGTCCAAATTTAGAAATAACTTTATTGAAATATATTTTGTGCATAATACTTCATGAATTATCACATTTTGTTGCAAAATGCCTCAATACTTAAACTATTTTTCATTTAATGACCATAAGACCATTTCTTATTGAATTACACTTAATCTATTTTTTCTTATTACCAAAAAAAAAAAAAAAAAAAATCATACTATATTGATGACATATTATCAATTAAATTTGTATAAATTTACCTTGAATTTTCTAAATTAATTTTTTAAATAAAATTTTTAAGTAATTTATTGTTTTTTTTCATGAATATATGGCATGAAATAGAAGTTATTTTTTATCGTCAAAAAGTTTAAATTGAGTATAGTAAGTTTTATTATAGATAGTAAAATTCTAATAATAAGTTATTCATATTAGAAATTGGTAATTATAAACCTATTTTTTTTTTCATTTTTATGATAAATTGATACTAATAATAAAATTAAGGCAAATGGTATAATTAATATTTAAATGATAAAAAGATAATAAAATTAATTTAATAAGAAATGACAAATTTAATGAGAAAAAGTAAAATAATCTTTTGTGATGATTTTATCCTTACTAAAAATCAATAGTTAATGAAATAATTTGTAATTAAGGAATTATTTGTATTCAAAATTTACCTATAAAATATATGGGTATGCTTGGTTTGTTAATTCTGATAACTGTTTTTTGATAATTGAAAATTGTATAAAAATAAATAAATAAATCTACTTCATTCAGTTTTCTGAAAATTATTTTTTAAAAATTTAGTTATATAAAGGTCTATTTTTAAAAAATTATTTTTTATTATTCTTTAAAAATTATTTTTTTTTCTTTGAATTTTTTAGAATTGTTAATCAAACAAGCCTTCAATTTTTAGATAGTTCTGAAAATAATTTTCTATTTTCTCATTTTTTTTAAGAATGGTTTTAAGAGTTACGACCACGCCAGCTTTATACATTGCACAAAAAGATACTCCGTAAAGATTTTGATGCGCAAGTGATGCGCGTGGCGGTCACGACGTTCGCTTCCATATCGAAAGGACCACGCAGCTTGTGACGTGTCGCTCTTACCACTTGGGCCACAGAGCTTTATTGGGCTCTTCTCATGTCTGGCACGAATATCAATAAAAAAGAAAAATTGAAAGAAATGTGGGCCACAGGGGAGCGCGAAAATCTGAAGTTGAAGCCTTCGAAGATGACATGATGGGCCCATCCCAGTGGAGCTCAGAACGTGAATTTGGTCTCACTTTTGCAAAGGGATCTATACTAGTTATATATAGTGTGTTATACACACGCTGTTACATTCACCATTTTCACACCACAGGGTTTTTACTCTTTCAGTCACAATAAAATAGAATACAAAATTGATAATGATTCTCACCGAACTGTCAAATCCAAAATCTTAGACTAGGGATTTCGCAAATCTAAAAATTGAAAATGATAACTGTCAAATCCGAAATCTTAGACTAGGGATTTCTCAAATCTAAAAAATTAAAAATAATTTTCAGATCCAATGTGATTTTTTTTTTTTTTTTTTTTTTTTTTTAACTTTGCACACAAAAAAAATCAATACCAACAGTTCTTGACTGTAGATCAAGAATATCACTAAAAATATAAGGAATAATTTCACTGACACCCCCAATAGCTGGCCAAATATTAGTGTAAAATATCTTTCGAAAATAACTCACATTACAAACGCTTACTCTGTTTTTCACTCACACCCCAAAAGTTAGTTAACAGGTGTGTCAGACCACTTTTTACATGTAAAAAGACATTCTTACCCTTTGACTTTGGTTTGACCTATTTAATTATTTTTTTATGATTGAAATGACATATTTACCCTTATAATGTGACTTTTATACCCCTCACATGTTTTACTCTTCTCTAACCTTGATGGTCTACGGAAGCATATTCCTGTGTTTTGCATATGAAGAAAACCACTCGTACTTGTGCTTGTGCTTGTCGACCTAAGCTCATTCCGATCAGACCTAAGCTCGTGCTTGTCGCCGGTGAGAGAGCTTGATGTTGGTTGACAATGAAGCAAGAACTGGGTTGCTGCAACTCTGCAACTTCCGGTGAATAAAACAGAGGACTTTGGCGGTGGAGAGTTTCAGATTCCGGTGACAAGTTGAGGAACCAATCCTCTGATGGGTGTTGGGTTAGGATTAGGTGGTGAAGTGCTCGCCGGAGTTGATTTAAATGAAATAATGTACATAGAATGTTTGGTTTTCCAATTTCCACCATTACTTCTGACAAAAAAACTTCTTTTCTTCTCAACAGTCCCTATGGACTCTCTCTATCTCTCTCCACAAAGAAACCCAACAACAGAGATCTTCTATGACGACAGAAGTTTGATACACCATATCACTCTCAATTCCTTCTCAATCACCCTTATCATCAATCCCATACCCAACCTCTCAATCGTCACCCGAGGAAACGACCATGGATCACGATCTTGATCCGACCCACAACGAACAGTTGTCACAAACAGCCTGAGATAACAACTATTCCGGTCACGACGCTCCTCGAACCCAGTTCCACGACCACAGCCCGATCTTGATTCGACCCACAGCGAACGGCGGGCGTGACAGTCCGAGCTCTGCGACGCCGCCTTTGTGGTGGTGGTGACTTGTGAACGCTGTTGTGGAGCATCGCGAAATCATAGAGGGCCACCGCCGTTTTGAGCTCGTCACGTTGCGATAGTCGTTGACTATCTCTCATGTTCTCTGTTATATATACATGTACATATATATATTTACCCATATATATATATATATATACCTCTGTGAGTGCAAATATATGTGTGATGTATATGATGGGTGTGTCTGCAATCCAAATTGTTTGTTCATGGATATATACATAGCAACAAAGCAAACAGACATTAAAAATTCCAAACGAAGCTCTGTTTTGAAGCTCGTCGGTCTTTGGTTTGATGGAGCGTTGGACACTCGTCGGTTCCCCTGTTTTTTTTCCCTCTGCCGAATCAGTCTCAGTTGTCGGACCAGTGCACCCACCTTCGCCGGCGATCTGTACAATCAATCAAGTTCTGCATCTCCAAATTTGTCGTCGTAGTTTCTGATTGCCGGAACAGTTCTTGCTAAACTGTAAGTTCAGTCTCCTCGGTTCAGTCCGTGCTCACCGGCTCAGTTCGCGTCTCGCCGGGCACGATAGTTCTTACTATTGTCGTTCCGTGTTCGCCGTTCAGATCCTTGTCAAAACAACTCTCTACTCCTAATCGTCGTTCAGATCCGCTCACACACACACACACACACACACACATATAATTATATATAATTTGTAATTTTATAAATATGATTAAAAAATTAGGGGCAAACATGTCTTTTCACATGTTTTTAACGGAGGCAGTAACGGAAAAACGAAATTGGACCTAACTGATAGTTATTTTTGAAAGATATTTTAGACTGATATTTGGCCAAACTACTAGGAGTGTCAGTGAAATTATCCCAAAATATAAACAAGAGTAAGAACCTTAGAAATGTAACGTCGAGAAAGTTTCGCAAGAATATGAGTGACCTTATTATCATTTCTAAGGACATGACTAAGATGAGGATAAAAGAATTATCGAAGTGTCACTTAAACATTAAAGGAAACTGATTGAATTTCAACCTGCCCAAGAGCAATACCAGACAATGCAGACATAGCCTCAGAGAATCACATTCAAACTAAACTTGGACAAATGGATATGTTAAAGCCCAAATGACTGCTTTGCAAAGGCAAATGGCCTCAGCAAAAGTTGCACTACAAGTCAGAAAAGGAAAAAACACCACATCCTGTAGAATAGTTCCTACAAATCTCGAAAGACAGCACCCCTAGTACCCCCAACTTGGAATGAAGAGGAAATAAAGGCATCCACATTATATTTAACAATACCATCGTGTGAGAGCAACCAACGTGAAGGAGAGGAAGGAAGATGCGAAGAAAAGCTAAGAACAAGCATATCGGGAGATAAGCTAAAGATTGGAGAAGAAGAGGCATCCTTATACTCCCAAAAATGAGAACAAGTCATAGTAACAACCCTATAAGAATCCCAGAGCTCCCCATCGAACACAAACTTATTCCTAACCTTCCAAATACCCCAGTAACAGCAGGTCACCAGACCCAACACGTCTTGACCCTCTTCCTTAGATGCCCACTGCCCAACCAGTGACATCCACCAATCAACAAATGAGAAAGGAGGATTAGACGTAAAATTAAACATTAACGGTGAGTCTCATTTTATACATCATGAGATAGAAATATATTTTAAATAACATTGTTCAAAAATAATACTAGTAATAAAAATAATGCTACACAAGTTTTCTGCCCTCTAAATCTCTAATGTAGTCAAAGAGTATTAAAACCTTTTTTTTTTTTTTTTTTTTGGGAGTGAGAGAGATAGAGTAAAATTGGGCTCAAGGCCCGAAAGTGGTGGGGATTTTTGGATAACCAAATTGGGCTCTATCTAAGCATTTTCTGTTCTTTTCCTCATCCAAATTGAGGAATTCATTAGTGTGGTTGTTCAATGTTTATTATTTTTGTTTTTTTTCCCTGGTTTAGGTTTCACGATAATTCCTGAAGTGAACCATGGTAACTCTTACGGATTTTTTCTAATAATTGCCCAGTATGTATGGAACGGGGACACCACCATCGTTAAAAAAAGAAAAAAAAAATAATAATAATTTGGTACAGTGAGCTGAAAACAACCCAACAAGATTCAATTTAGAAAAGCAAAAGAACTGCCTGCCAAAAGGACAGCCCATCTTGTTGTGTTCACAACTCTACAAGATCAAGACGAAGCCCAGGCCTCTCCCAGAACATCGTGGGCCTACGAGCCTTCCGCAAATGACCAGCCCACTACCATTATTCTACTTCCGGTGTCAAATTATCAATCAATCTAGCCGGAAGTTAGGCAATCTCTTTGACCATTCATCTTTATTTATGTTATTTTCCTTTGTTGTTGAAGACTTTTGAGTATTTTATTTCTTCCGATCATTACGCTAAAAGCCGAAACATTTGTCAAGCAGAACAAAGAAGATTCTAAATAAGTAAATATTTATATGAACATGTCTTTATTTAGTCCAAGACTTTCATGTAGCACCTCTGCTGCTATCATGTTTGGTCGCATACAGTTGAAATCATGATTTCTAATTCGATACTTCTATTTATTATCAATTTAATTACTCAATAAACTGCATTTTGTCCAATATATATACTCCCACATATATATATAGATATATTATTTAATTTCAACCAAAATATCTTATAAAGAAGTTTGTAAGTGTGGGCCAAAAATAAAATATCAACATTTTGGGTTAAGAGTAGCATGAGTCCACAAGTTATAAATAAGAAAGGAATCAATAAGCTCATATTGTACAATTTTATATAAATTCAGGAATGAGAAACAAAAAAAATGAGTCAATTAACTGAACAAGGAGGGAAAATAAATGTAAAATTGACCTACCTCCTTAACTAACTCAACAGCAAGAAAGAGTGAAGTGGACCCTCTTCTTTAACTTTATTCAGCCCTTCATCAAAGCTGTCCCTTTGAGTAGCAAGAAAGTAAATGCAACCCTACTTGTGTTTCTTGTAGCAAAGATTAAATGCGCCTATCTTGTTAGACATTCTCATAAACATCACATGCAGCGTGCACTAGATGCCATTATTTCATACCCCACCCTCCTCCAATCCCCTCAATCCCCGCAAATTATCCCGCCCATCTTCACACACACACACATATTTATATACATATATATAGATATAGAGGACTCTCTCTATAGTCTATATATACATATAAGGACTTAATTGGGATCATAAATCTCAATACCAACCAAACACCAATTTTCCCTCTTACTTTCTATCATGGCTCACTATGCAAAACACCTCTCTTTTCTCTTGCTTATAGTTCTCTCTCTCGAACATATTGATGCCAGAGAGAGTAGGTTCTTTAGTAAGGTCACTCACAGCAGCAACAAAATTGTCCCGGTGTCTGAATCTCCCTTGTTAGCACCAACACCTGCACCAGCACCAGCACCAGCAAGTCCAGCACCTGCACCCATCATCACCGAAAACGGCTACGGCCTTTACGGTCATGGCTCTACTGAAACAACAACCACTCCTACTACCACCAATACTTTTGCCAACGATGAAAATGAAGTCCCGGCTGAGGAACTCAACAATCTTGAGAGCTTCAAGGAGTCGAATACAGGCTACTCTTACAACAACAACTACAACACTAATGGCTACTCCAACTACAATAACAATAACAATGGGTACACGACCAACAGCTATGGTAACAATGGTTACCAGAGTAGTGAGAAACAAGGGATGAGCGACACGAGGTACGTGGAGAATGGTAAGTATTATTATGATGTTCAGAATGAGAAATACTATCAGAATGGGTATGAGACGTCTGTGAAGGGAAGTGGCAACAATAATAATAATGAAGGTTACAACTATGGTACTAATGGTGTCAACTCAAATGAGTTCAACACCATGGAAGAATATGAAAGGCAGCAGGGGTACCCAGAGAGCCAAGGGGAGTTCTTTCCCTGAACAAATGGGCCATATATATATTGTCACATAGCAAAAACTAAGTTGGAAGAGGGAGGAAGAGAACTAATTACAAGATTTAAGTTATGATAAACTCTTTTATTATGTGTTGAATTGTAGTTGCTCGTGTTTGCATGTTTTTTGTGCTTTGCAAAACAGAGGATTAATTATCATATAATTTTTGAATTTGGGATATATAAATTATATGTGTCTGTGGGTGTATAATGTTTGGTCTTCCAAAAGTATCAGTATGTGTTTTGCGCAGCTCCTAATTAAACAACCTGCTTAATTAACTACAAATTGTTAGCTTCCTTGGCATCCAAATTATCATATTATGAACTTGCATTCAAATTTAGTCGTTTCCAAGATCTGCTATTAGACACTGATACTTGTTTATTTCCGTATTGAACCGGCGACCAGAGATGAACTTGAGAATCTTGAGACATTAAATAAAATAAAAAATGAATTGTTCATAAGCGAAAAAAAGGCCAAAGCACTTTCCGGTTTTAAGCATTGTAAAGAAAATGGCTTCTTACAGATGAGCGAGCGCTTTCACTTTTAACATATTATCAATGCAATATAAATAAATATGCAGTCCCACAACATCAGCTTTTGCTTCAATTCCAAAGAAGCATGATGCGTTTTTTTTATTGGTAATAATTCAAATTAAGGGAGGGGGGACCCTGGAGGCACTTTTTCATTTATAGTATAAGTAAAAAGCATCCCTCCTCAGAGTAACTCAGTTATGATGATACTTTAATCATGAATATAGTCCTTCGTTGTGGAGTCAATAATAGAATACACCAAAATTATCAATTCAATAATATAAAAATCCAACTCATGTGAGAGCACTTGCAAATCTACAATGTAGTTTTTTTCCATTCAACCCAAGTCCAATCCAAACTTCAAACGTGCTTGGACTAAGATATTTTTTATGAAGCATTGATTGTGAAGTAACGACCCAATTTAGTTTAGGTTGAGTTTGAATTTAATGGATTGGTTGAACAATTTAAATTAATCTGAGTCCCTCAGCTTGCTGCAGGAATTTTTATACAAATTTGAACAAAGTAAAGATGTCTTCATGGATCTAATCTGCGAGAAGGTATTAAGTGCGGCCGGTGCACCGTGACATACGTGTTATATATGTATGAATGAGTTGGCGCACCCGCGTTCCGAATATGTATTTCTAATCTGGTTTATAAGGAACCTGAATTCTAAATATTAACTTGTAAGTTAATGTATTTAGGTTGGAGGTGAATTTTTGTTAGAATTAAACCATTATACTACTCCCTGTATGATTCAAGAATCAAATATGATCGACACCTTGATAATCATAATTATGATTGATTCACGTGTTTAATCCAGATAGCAGGCTTTTACTGCAATATTTGGGAGAAACAAGCATACTGGGCCTGAATTAATTTCTTTCTGGCCTGTCCCTTGTGCTGGCTCAACACCGACAATTATGTGTACGGCTTATCTAATTGGAGCGGTAGGAAGACCACTTGACCAAAGAGAATAGGTGGACCACTGACAATTAAGAAATGGGCCTAGTCTTCTATCCCTTGGAAAGCAGGTACTAAAATCACAAGTTGTAGTTGATTCTGTTATATATATGTGGTGTGCACTAATTGTATAGTGTTAAATTAATGATGCAATAAATAATAATAAAATATAGTGCAATAAATAAGAATTAAATGCAGTGTAATAAATAAGAGGTAAATGCACTTGGTTAATGGTGCATTAAGGATGTTGACTAAAGTTTGGCTATAAATACAAATTGTTCATTGTTATATCGATCTACTTGGATTTAAGAGATAATAAGATCTATTACCCCTCTCTACATTCTTCTCTCTATATTGAAGATATAATTTTATGTTGTATATTTTCTTTTAGATTCACAACATGTTATTAGTACGAGTCTCTAACCAACTGAGACTTGAACGAGAAACTCTTACTCCCTCTCTTTACCTCAACTCATATATCCCACTAGTGATATTAATTTTGATAATTTTTTTTGTTCCTAAATAATTTTGATAAATTATTGGGTTTGTTTGATTCTCTAAACACAATAGAGAAAATTTTATTTTATTTCTTACCTCAAAGAATAGCCAATAGAGTAGAGATGAGAGAGGTCAACAGAGATCGGAAGCAGAGTAAAGATAAGAGAAGTCAAAGGTACTTAATGCCATGGTTGATCATGAAACTTCTTCAATATGGACTACCATTACTCCATCAAGAATTAATTGCTTCTCATTCATAACGGCAATTAATAGTATATATTAAGATAAAATATATCAATAATTGTGCTTTTATCTTTATATATTGGATTCACCAAATTTTCATAATTTGAAGGATTTGTTGATATTGAATCAATTCTTATTCTTGCACAGACAGATACATGTATATATTATTATGAGGGGATGTATATGTGTAGTTGAGAGAGAGATAGAAATGGAGTGATTGGTCAAAAAGAGTTGAAAGGCAACTGGGTTGTTCATGAATTTAGTAATCTTGTCTGATTGGTGATGGTGACAAAAGTAATGTGCTATTAATGACACAAACCATTGTAGGCCTCTCTCCCTGAATGGACAAATTTGTAATACCCCTAATTTTAAAAGGATAGTCTCGGTATTTATTTATTTGTTTTAATTATATTTTTAATTATTTAATTGATTATTTAACTAATTGCTTATGTGTTTAATTGAATTAGGTATTACTTGATTATTTTATTATGTATCTATGTATTATTTTTATTTGTCTATGTGTTAATTGTTTAATTAGATTATGTGCTTAAATGATGTTTTGATTAATTGTAAATTAAATGTTTTCTTTTCTTTTATTATTTTATTTTATTTTTTCTTTTATGATTATGGTTAGTAGTAATGGGCCAACCAATTGGGTCCCATGAACTACTTGGATAGGAGGTTGGATGTGTATGGATTATTACCCATGAATAGTTGTGTATGTATATTTATAGATATATATTATATACATATATAAAAAGAAAAGTAATTTATTAATTACTTTTATGGTAACTTGGGTAGTAATATTTAATCTGATGTATATGTTTTATATTTAAATAATAAAAATATACATAGATTTGATACGTGTTATGTTTTAAGTTACTTTATAATATTATGGTAACTTAAGTATTATTGGATAATCCATTAATAAATAATGGAATGTGTATAATTTATTTATTTAATAAACATATACATAAATTATATACGTAACATATTTTACTTACCTTTTTAATATATATAAAAGGGAAAGTAATTTATTAATTACTTTTATGGTAACTTAGGTAGTAATATTCAATCTGATGTATATGTTTTATATTTAAATAATAAAAATACATAGATTTGATACGTGTTATGTTTTAAAGTTACTTTATAATATTATAGTAACTTAAGTATTATTGGATAATCCATTAATAAATAATGGGATGTGTATAATTTATTTATTTAATAAAGATATATATAAATTATAGGGAAAATTACATATAAATGGAGTCAAAGTTTCATATTTACTTAGAGACTGAGTCAAAGTTCCATATTTCTCTAAAATAGATTGCTGAGGTGGCACATGGTTTTTTACTGTTTAAAAAATTGTAGTGCCTAAAATGCCCTTCCCTAATAAAAAAGTAGTACCTTCAGTTCAAAAAAGTAATACCTTCAGTTCAAAAAAGTAGTACCTTCGGAGAAAAAGTAGTACCTTCGCGAGTGTTTAAAAAACATGGTACCTAGACGCCAAAAAGTAGTACCTTCAGTTCAAAAAAGTAGTACCTTCGAAGAAAAAGTAGTACCTTCGCGGAAGGGTATTTTAGGCATCACAATTTCTAAACAGTAAAAAACCATGTGCCACTTCAGCAATCCATTTTAGAGAAATATGGAACTTTGACTCAGCCTCTAAGTAAATATGGAACTTTAACTCCATTTATATGTAATTTTCCCTAAATTATATACGTAACACATTTTACTTACCTTTTTCATATTTTAATATTTATTTTTTTAAGTTAACTTGGATTGGGAAAAGGGTTAGGGTTATTTTATTTAGCCTATAAATATATAGCTATAGGTTGTAAAAGGGAGTTAGAAATATTCATGTGATATATTCTAGAGAGAGAAAGAGTTAGAGAGTGAAGGAGGAAAATGAAGAAATGAGGAGAAAAACCTTGTAGAGAGAAGATTAAGGAAGAAGAAGTGTAACTTTCGATCCGAAAGTTTAAGGCAAGTTCTTCTTCTATCTCTTTCCCTTTGATTCGTGTTTCTATGCATGCCTAGGAAATTCCAGAATTTATTAAACACATAAAATTAAATAATTATGCATGTTTAATTGGATTAGAACATAGGTTTTATGAAATTGGTTCATATTTGTTCTTATGTTATGAATTGATAAATGCATGATTTTGATTTGATTTTCGGTGTGAATTTTTATATGTTTACATTATGTATTTTTTCATATCGGTGGAATGATGGAACGTAGAAACATGCCTAGGATTCCTGAACATTAAATAGGAACTAGGTTTGGGGTTTAAATAAATTTAAATAGACTCAATCATAATGATGCTTTCTATTTGAATGTCTTAAACAAACGAATGGATTTAATCTTTTAAAAATGTTTTAGCAATTGAGATTAAATGTGTAGGATGAATTGGATATAGAGAATGCTTATGTAACGGTATAATAAAATATCATCATGTATAAGATTCAGTTTATGTAGGACATATGATATAGGAAGCTTAAATAAATAATAAGTTATTCATATTATGTGATAACTTGATATCATATTATCATAGTTATTTCTGGAATGTTTGATGTATTTCCTTAATTGTTACATCAATTGTTGGATTGTGTGGTTTAATGCACCGGTATGGGACGGTGGCATTTTAGGGACAGATTAACTTATCAGTTAAGTCCTACCTATTTTATATAAGGGAATGGATTAACTAAAATATTAAGTCCTACTTATATTCAAGTCAGGTCAACTGAACAAGTTGAATGACTTATGGAGGATTAATTTATTATATAAGGGAATGGATTAACTAAAATGTTAAGTCCTACTTATATTCAAGTCAGGTTAGCTGAATAAGTTGAATGACTTATAGAGGATTAATTTATACTGGATATGATGGTTACTAAATTATATATATATAAGTATGGTACCATTATATGAGCTTGAGTCTCACGATTAGTGGT